ACTCCATCGCGCACACCCACACACACACACACACACACAGGTGAGTGCACGCCCCGTGACACACACACACACACAGGTGAGTGCACACCCCGTCACACACACACACACACACACACAGGTGAGTGCACGCCCCGTGACACACACACACACAGGTGAGTGCACGCCCCGTGACACACACACACACAGGTGAGTGCACGCCCCGTGACACACACACACACAGGTGAGTGCACGCCCCGTGACACACACACACACACACAGAGGCAAACCCACGCCCTGTGACACACACACGCAGGTGCCCTGGGACGCCCCAGCCCCCACCCCCTGAAGTGCCCACGTGCACCACGGTTGCGCAGGGCCAACAGCTGTGCTGATGCCTGGTGGGCAGGAGGCCAGGGCTCAGCCGGAAGACGCTCATGTGACAAAGCTATGGAAAGAGAAAGGGGTCCATGGGATGCCGTATGGGAAAGCTGAGACACGCCATGAAAAGGGAACAGCAGAACACACACACAACCGTGTGTGACATGCTAAAACCCGCGTGTGACATGCTAAAAAAGGTGTGTGCCCATTTAAAGAGTAAAGAAGGCCATTGCGGCAGCGCGGCACGTGGGAGCCAGAACCCACACAGCGACGGCGGCCAGGGACCACGCTGGGCCGTGTGCGTGTGCCCACGTCTGGGTGGAGTCAGGCGGGGGCACGGTGTGGTGTGGCCGTGCCCTGCTGCTGGCAGGCTCTCTCTGATGAGCACACGTGCACTCTGGCAGGAGAAAAATGAGAAAAAGAAAAACAATAAATATCCTCTATGTGGGGACCAGCAGTTGGCGTAATGGCTAAGTCACTGGACTCCCATGTAGTCGACCGCGGTTCAAGTCCCGGACCCGGTGGCTTAAATTTACGCCAGGCACGTGGGCCCAAGATCCCGAGAGGAGAATGGAGAAGGGATTATGGCATGGCCATCCCCCCTGGGGGGTGATTTCTCACTTTCTGTCTCTCTCTCTCTGTCTGTCTGGCAAGCGCACGCACCCTATAGTAAAAACCTCTTCAAAAAACAAACAAAAAAATCCTCTACGTGACATTTCTTTCCTTTTTTTTTTTTTTTTTTTTTTTAAAGAGAGACTTTGGCTATAGGGTGTGTACACTTGCCCAAGACAGAGGGACAGAAAGTGAGAAATCACCTGCCCCCGGGGGGATGGCCGCACAGCAATCCCTTCTCCTCCGTTCTCCTCTTGGGATTTTGGGCACGCATGTGCGCCCAGCCTGAGTTTTAAGTCACCTGGTCCAGGACTCAAACCGTGGTCAACTATGTGGGAGTCCAGTAACACAACCACTGTGCCATCTCCTGGTCCCTCTATGTGATATTTCTTTTTTCTTTTTTGAGAAAGAGACTTTTGCTATCGGGCATATACGCTCTCTGGAGAGACAGGGAGACAGAAATTGAGAAATCACCCTCCCCAGGAGGAATAGCCATGCTGCAATCCCGTGTCAGATTCAGAAAGAGGGACTGCAGCGTGGCCATCTCCCCAGGGATTGATTTCTCGCTGTCTGTCTGTCTCTGTGGCGAGTACACGAGGACGAGAAATGAGAGTTACGTGCACTGTGTACCCTCCACTGCGTCCTGGGGTAGGAGAGACTTAGCTCCACGGGGCACCATGGGGACCGCTGGAAGAGTCCGACTTCAGACCG